GGAATAAATAAATGCAATGTGTATAAGAAAAATTAAATGAAATAATAAGGAAAAAATTATAAAAACTAAAATTGAGGAAAAAAAATACATATTGTTAATTTTTTGTGTTGAAAACACTTAAAAATCATTATATATACATTATATTACATTTATGCTGCCTGTTATTCCCAATAAAACTATATAATGTTCTTTCAAAAAATAAACTAAGTAGAAAATAAACCAAAAAAAAAAAAAAACACTTAAAGCTAACATCATATATTGTTTCGACGGGAATTTTTTTTAATAATAGCTTCACATGTGTCCAACATGATGTAAGCATGTTCTGTTTTAGTGATAGTTAATATAATTAAATAATTATCTTTTTTATTTTTATTTTGAGAAGGTAAATGTTAATGATTTACTTTATATCCTTTGTAATAAGCCTTTGTTTCATATCCCTATCGGCCTATACAGCTTTGTGGCTGGTAATCACTATTCTTTGTAATCACTATTCTTTGTACTAGACTAAAGCCAAGTAATTTATATAGTTAGATTTCTCACCATATGATAAATTAAATTATATTAGTAAAAGTAATTATACAAATTTTGTTTTGTATTAATAAAAAAGTAAGAGAGAATGATGTGGTAGAGACTAGAGAGAGAATGGTGTGATGGTGAAGAAATTTTTCTGGATCATTGGTGGGATAAAAATATGATCATCAAAATGCTAATGAGCAAGATAAGTGAGGAAGTGAATAGAGAGAGAATAAGGAAGTGTTTTTTTTTAATCATTATTGGCAATGCTCTTTAGTATGTGTTTAAAAGCCTACCCAACAAGATTTCAGTATTAGGGCAAGCTTTTACAGTTCGACCATAACAACTTAACATCCGCGCACAACGTTAACGCGCACGTAGGCTCCCCTAGTTTTATCAACAAAAATAATTTGTTCCCTCGTGGTTTTCTCTTTAGGAGAGTTTTTCTTGGTTCCTCTAGGGTTTCTCCCTTAAGAGGTTTTTTTCTAACCTCCATTGCTAGGTTTTTTTGTTTTGTTTTGTTTTAATTCTTTTTTAAAGGTTTTCCTTCTCTCTCCATCACTACCATCTCTTTTCCTCTTGGTCTCAATTGTGAATCTTTGTAGGGGCTTACACTGGTGTTCATTCCGGTGGTAAGCCCCAAAAACCTTTTAATTGCTTTCAATAAATAGATCTGATTTTTCTCTTATGTTTATTTTCATTTTTAGTTTGCATTGTATAACAAGAATTGAAGAATTAGGGTTTCATAATCTCCATAAGAATCCAGAGGACCATATAAGCATTATTTTCACTCAAACCACTACGCATCAGTGGATTTCAAGCCGAATTAGAGCTAACTCACAGATTGTATTGCTTCAGATTGTATTGCATCAGTGGATTAGTGATCGAATCTGCAATGTATTTAGTTTTAAGGTGTTATGTATTTGTGCTTGAATTTTTTATTCCTTAGGAATTATATGTAAGTGTCGTTTTACTATATTATATTAATGAATTGAATCATTTTTCTTCTTGTCAATTTTCTTTCTTTCTTTTTTTTTTTTTTTTTTTACTAGTCTGGATTTGATTAGGGTCGATCAACCTTTAACCGGTGAGAAAGTTCTCCCAACAAGTGTTGTTGTGTAACTTGTGTTCTCAAGACTAGAATTTGAAGTCTTAAATTAGTTAAATTTCTATTTAACATTTTGTATTTACCCAGTTCTCTCAAAATTGCTACTGAATCCTTTTTTCTTTTTATTTTTCCCAATTGAAAGTTTTTTATTATTAGGATAATTTGACTTTTGATACCACGAAAGACCCTACTTTGATTTTTGGTACCTATCTAAAATTAATTTTTATTTTACTACCTATCAAATTTTGAAAAGTATACCTTTTGGTACCAGTTAACGAATTTCGTTAGGGTTCTGTTAGTGGTTAGCTAATTATTTTTTTCTCCTTTTGCGTGTTGAAAAATATTCCGTTAAGGTTTTGAGGGTCATTTTAGTCCTTAAAAATCCAAATTGAGCTCGAAATTGACATAAAAACAACGCAAGTGCCTCGTTTTTATCCCAATATTAAAGACCACCAGTTTCGCCATCGTGGCAACCATAACAAGGTTCAAACCGTATCTAGCAAACTTGCCCAAGCCACCAGGCTAAACAACCTAAACTTTAAACCAATTCAATGACATCAACCCCTCAATGAATGCAGTGGCATGATTACCAACTCCGTAATGGGATTGAATTGAACCCAAGCATTGAACTCAAGCAATCACTTCAAAGGTGCTAATAAACAACTAAGGAGTCAAAGAGAGCTGAATGACTACAGATACATCCACTACACAAGTTATTTGCAAAGTTCACGTGTTAGATACATCCTGCTCATCAAACGGGTTGATGTGATCGTCTTGCTACTAAGTATTTTAATTGATTTTAAAATTCGTTTCTAATATTCCCTCCGTCTCTTATCTACATGCTTATTTTTCATTTTTCACGGGAATTAAGGAATTTAAAGATTTCTTAAAACCCATGATTGTGAAAGTACAAATGTGCATGTGGGGTTAGAAAGAGATAGAGAGAAAGAAAATATAGTTGGTAATTATTAAAGAGATATAGAGAGGAAGTGTTGGAAAATGATGTCAAAAGTACACAAAAAAAAAAAAAAAAATGATGACAACTCATCAAAAAAGAGGGAATATTGTCAAAAATTACATTCTTTAAATAGAAATAGGCATGTAGTTTTGAAACCCCCAAAAAAGAAAGTAGGCATGTAGATAAGGAACGGAGGGAGTAGTTTTACTACTTACTCCATCCATCCCTTTATGTTTGCACCATATGACTTATAAAGTTCTCACATAAAGTAGGCTCATGGTCCACAAAGGGAGTATATTATTTCATTACTTTTTTTATAAGGAGAAAAATGATTTCATTAACGAAAGATAGTGAAATAACACTTACAAACAATTCTTATGAAATCTAAAATTCCAACATAAGTACAAATCACTTTACACTACAAGAAAATTGCCTTTTCGTAGCGATTATTTTATTAACATTTGGTAACGATTGTAATTGCTACCAAAAAAAATCCCAACGAATGGCCTTTCGATACAACATCCGCCGTTGCCATAGCCTTTAGTAATGTTTTTCGCTTTCGCTGGGGTTGTCCTCATTAATCGCTACGGAAAACTAATATTAATCGTGGTGATTATTGTAGTGATTATAATCGCTACAAATATTGAACTCATTTTCTTTTTTTAAAATAAAAAACATATGATTTATACAAGATTGGAACATGCAATCTCAAGCTCTAATATTAAATGTTTTTCCAATAAGCTATGACATATTTTGATGTTTACTTTGTCAAATAAAAATTTAAAATCTAGTGTGAAAATGGCTTTTTGTATCCATTAATGGGTTTTAGTGGCGATTGTAAAGGGTACGCTTTAACATAAATTTATAAATGTGCAGAAAAAAGGTGAATACTTATTATTATGTTTTTCGTATCGATTTCATATGGGTTTACTATGTCGATTGTAAAATGATATGGATTCCTCTACTGTTTCACAATTATATGTGGATATTGTAGAGAATGTACAATCGCTATGAAATAATTGCTACGAAAAAAACAATTTTCTTGTAATATTAGAACTAGTTATATCGAAGATTCGATCAACAATCGCCTTAATAAAAAACTTCATTTGAAGCAATACAATATGTGAGTTAGCACTAATTCGGCTTGAGATCCACGAATGAGTATTTGTTTGGGTGAAAAATTCATATGGCCTTCTAGATACATTCGGATATTATGAAACCCTAAATCTTCTATCTTTGGCAGACAAACAAAGAAATTAAGCTTAATAGAATAAACACCATCATAAAGATGGGATCCATTTATTGAAAGCAATTAAAAATAAAGTTTTTTGGGGCTTACGTACCATCGGTAAAAACACCGGTGGAAGCCCCTACAAAAATTTACAATTGAGACCAGACGACAACAGATGAAAGAGAAAGAGAGAAAAGGAGAAGAGTGAAGGAAAACCTTCAAAAAAGCAGAAAAAATCTAGCGATGGAGGTTAGAAAAACCCTCCCTAGGTAGAAACCCTAGAGGGAACAAAAAAAACCCTCCCAAATATTATTTCACTAGGTTAAAACCCGGGCGATGCACAGTTTATATAAAATCTATTTTTATAATACATTTTTTTTAAAAAAAATGGATAAATATAATTAAGAATTATGCACCTTGTACAAAAATATCTGTACTTTTAAAATTTTATTTTCATTAAAATTATGATATAATACCTGTTCAACGTCGCCAAATTCATATTTCAATGTAGGAGCCTATTTATTAGTGTGCTACTTTTTTTTTTCTTTTTGAAAGCATTAGTGTACTACTTAAAATTATTTCATTTTTAAGGATAAATCTATAGGTTGTAATTTTAATGTAGAAGCTTGTAATTTTCAAATTTCAAAATTATTAAATATGATAGCTCAAAAAAAAAAATGACATTATCTTTGCATTTAGACGGGAAATTTTTTATTATGAGAGTGACATGTGGACAGTGATGACGTCAACAACGTTTTGTTTTAGTAATAGTTAATAGATTATTTTTTATGAGCAATTAATTAGTTTTCAATTTGCTATTTAGGATGACCATCAATAACTTCAAAGCAATTATATCTGTTACAATAATTTGAACGAACAAGAGATAATCTTATCTGTTGATTGAATTGATCATGAATTTTTTTTTTTAAAAAGATAAATTAATTATAGTTAATCTCCATTTTTATATTTTATTCATTTATCTATCTTCATCGACTTTATTATTACATTCTTTATTATTTTCCTCATCCTATATCCTAATAATTATAGTAATTCCTCAAAACTCTACGTGCAAGTTAGTGCGTCACTTATAAGAAGGGAATGAATAAGAGAATGATATATAAGTTTAGTATAGTATCCATTCATCAAACTTGTAATGTTGATTTTTTTTTTTTTTTCAAAGATGTTTGTAATAAAAATGAAAATATATTAGTACAATACATTACATTGGTACTTAATATACAAATCGCATATTTCATAACCGTTTAACACAATATATAGTTACAATTCACAACTCACAATTGGTTTTTCATATATAAATAAATATATATGAAAAATTAAAATCAAAATATTCTTTTTCAAATAAAATTCAAAAAAAATTTCACACTGATAAATATATGTATATAGTAAAGTGTTATACACCACAATGTCATATCAATCCAATTGAATTAGAAGTTGTTGCCTTGAAGATGTAGTTGATTATCAACTTTCACCATCCCTAGAGCTCGTATGTCATCCCAACTTTAAGCAATCGCTTACGAGGAATGTCGAACATCTTATCACTTTGTCGTAAATTCTTCTTCATAAAATTGAAAGCAAAATCAATCACAATCCTCTTTCCAATACCAGATGATTTGTTAGCTGTTACTTCACTTTCACCCATCATGTGTACAACCCCTGCATTCCATGCTTTGTCGATCACCTCGATATCTTTCTCTAACACTTCCTCTTGAGCCCTTGTCAACACATGTTCGTTACCATCACCATGGTGAATTTGGTCGCTTTCGTGCTCTTGGACTTGTATGCTTTCGGGGTGATCCTTTTGTACATAAACCCAAAATTCGTCCTTCATAAATTCCTTCAGTCTGTCTATTAACAATCTCTCAAAAGGTTCTTCCTCATTACGAGCATCAGTATATCCATACCTTACCACACAACGGAACACATAGAGGTCCCTTGGGTGGACTCTACGGAAGAGAAACCGTTCCTCTGGTGGAACTGTACTAATAGGCAACGACTTGACTGATGCAAAGACAAGTACAGAGTGCAAAACAGAGATGTTCTCCACATAATGACCGAAAATAGGAGGGATTCCATCGACAAGCTCGGAGTAGAAGATTGCTAGCCCAGGGATACGACTACAATTACTTTGATTAACAAGATCCCTAAAAGTACTGGGTGAAATTTTGTTGTCCATCTCATAGTAGTACTTCTTTCGATATACGTAGTTCCATATGACCATAAGGGCAAGAAAGACACTTGCTAGTGCTATTGGAAAGTATCCACCATGAGGAAACTTGTAGAGCACCGAACTCAAGTAAACCAACTCGACTGACCAAATGCAGCACGCGTATATGATGGCTACTGCTATGTGTTTTTTCCAAATAACGAGTATAACAAGGATCATGAAACCTGATGTTATCGTCTCAGCAAGTGCAACAGCAATGCCTGTCATATGAGTTTTTAGTTACTATATGAATCTTATAACAAGAAAGAAAATTGAAGAAAGAATTAAGGTAAACTTACCATAGGCATGACCAATATTTTCGGTTGTTCTAAAAGCTAGTGTGACACCTACACAAGCCAACATAAGGAAGTAATTAATCTCTGGGATGTAAACTTGGCCTTCGTATTTGGCAGATGTATGAACGATTTGAACACGAGGGAAGCATCCTAGAGCAAGGGATTGTTGGATGATAGAGAAAGTTCCCGATATCATGGCTTGACTTGCTACAATTGTTGCTAAGACAGCTATGACAAACATTGGCCAGTACAATGGGCCTGATAAAACAAACCAAATTAAGGTAAGATATATGTTAGATGAATACACCATTCATAAAAGCATGTTACTATAATCACTATTCTATACAAAGTACATTGTTATTTACAATAAATTACATGAAAGTTAAGATCACTAGAAGAAAAAATAGAGCAACCATAATTCACCTGGTATGCATTCGTAAAAGGTATCTTTAACTAGATCTTGATTCAAGCGAAGGAATGAAGCTTGCCCCGAGTATGTTAGCATAAGCGCGGGATATGTAACACAAGACATGCTTAGTTGGATTGATTTAACTGAAAAATGTCCAACATCAGCAAATAATGCTTCAGTCCCTGCACATACAAAGACGGTGTGAATTATGTAGTAAGTAACAAATAAAGTGATGTTAGCAACAATTTATGTAGCTAGAAATATTTAAGATCTTGTAATGTTCATCTTTTACATGTATGTGTATGTTTGTTTAACACAAGACATAAAAATAACGCGTCATGCAACTAAAAGAACATAGTACTATAAATTAAATCGCGAGTAAGTAGAGATATGACAAACCTGTGATACAAAGGAAGACACCACCAAGGGAGATCCAAGCATCTCTACCATTCCTTTGAAAATACTGAATAATGTACCATGGATTTACAGCCTTAATAACAGTAGGATCATATTTTATGAAATTGTAGACACCAATTCCAGCATTAAATGCAAACCATACAGTTACAATTGGAGCAAAACTATATCCTACTTTATCAGTCCCAAATCTTTGAGCTGAAAATAGTAGAACCAATATGGCTATTGATATCCAAACAACTCTTCCTGCAAAACAAAATAAAAAATATTGTTCATATGCAATATATAAATAAAGAAATCTAGTACATTTTCCTATATATGCAACCCAAAATTCCTAATTTATCAAAAATTCAAAATGGGTCATACCAGCCAAACATATAACGACATTATTCACATGCTTCACTTTGACTATTATTTATATAACGATGAAAAAAAGACTAGAGACTATACCTTCAGTAAAAACAGGCGAAGCTCCTTTTAACCCACTTATAGCTGATAAAACTGGAGATTAAGAAGTAGATTATCATTAGGGTGATGCATAAAGGTCACAAGTTGTCATAAACAAATATTATTGTCACAATTATACACATCATTTTTTACGTCCATATTGTCAACATTTTAGATTATTTTAGCGTTTTTTGAAAATTCTTAGCTTCAACTATTATAATTAGAAACGTTTTAAATTATTGAAGATATATAAAAAAAATAAAAAATAATAATAATAATAATAATAAATAAATAAATAAAAAGGACAAGTAAAGAAGACGGACAAAAGAAAATTAAATCATACATTAAACAGATATATTTTTGTTTATAATCTTTAGAAATAAATTAATTTTTTATAATCCAAACTATGTCAAATTAATAGTCATTGTCACAAGTGAATCATTTTTCTAACAAGATACGCCTAGCGAAAAGAAATTGTCCAAATTTGACTTTTATTAAGGTTAAGTATTCTAATTAAGACAATTAAAAATTCATTTCTCATAGATGATAGCTAAAATATTTAATATAATGATATTCATGACATATACATATATTGGAGTTTAGTGAAGAATGAATTCTACGATTTGAAATTATGCGCACCTATATTAATTTCAACAAGTTACGTGTAGTATCTCTTAAAAATAATTAGTTGTTTCTTCAACCTTCACTAGTTAAGATTTTTAAAATATAAAAATCAAACCACTAACTAAAAGTCAGACGACATTTATAACTGAACGAGGTAAATAATATAACATAACTTTCCCCTAAAACTGTTACAAATGCAGGTGGGAGATAAGTTTGATTTGAATAACTTAACACATCGTTATTTGTAATTGACTCGTACTTTATAAGGAAAGATATAAAACCTGAGATAGATGGAGTGAGGACACCATCACCAATGACCAAGGAAGTAGAAAGCATAGTAACAATCAAAAGAATGTACTTGGAAAGCTTGTTTTTTTCCAAGAAGGTTTTGAGCTTCAATGATACACCTAATTGATTGCATTTGGTTGGCAATTCAAGTTGATAGTTCGATACTTCTTGATCTTCAATTTGTTGACTAGGTAGTAAACCAACCTTTGCATTTCGACATAGAAGAGAATACAAGGCAAATGTTCCACCTATAGTAAAAACAAAGAAACATAACATAACTTAATTAATGAGACCTCTAAAATCTTACAATCCTTTTTGATAGATTCGGATTTGCATTATTACGATATACATCCGATTGTATCATAAAAAATTTATACTAACATTTTTTTTTCACATTATACTCCTTCAATTAGCAAAGAGCCAAAGAATGAGTGTGGATGTATACTGTGGACATTGTTTAAATGCTACATATACTACTCGAGAACATACATGATGCACATACTTAAATTAAAAGAATTTATTTATACTCCGTGTATCATTTTAAATTTAAATCTTATTTTCACTTATTTACGGAGTATCTTATTTTAGAAGAAAAAAAATTCATATACGTTGAAACAAAATAAAAGCAAAAAAAATAATCTCAAATAATTAAAAATTCAGATAAAATAAAATAAGTTCAGACAAAATAAGTTCAAAAATTTTAAATAAAATAAATTCAAAAAAAAATAAATGCAGAAAAATAATTTCAAATGAAATATAACAAGTTTAGAATAAATACGTCTATAAAATACACATAAAATAAGTTCAGAAACAATAAATTAAGTTCAAATAAAATAATATAAGTTCATTTAAAGTTCAGATAAAAAAAATAATTTCATTGAAGTTCATATCAGAACATATGAATTTTTTTTTTTTTTTTTTTTTACAAAATCAAATAGAGCTTTACTCCATACCAAACAAATATAAGTTCTCAAAGAAAGAATTAAAAAAAAAAAAAAAAAAAAGTACTCTCTTTTTTTATTGCAATGTTTGAGATTTTACACTATTTATATGCTCTCTTTTAAACGTTTTGCGTGTTTTATAAGTCAAGAAAAACATAATTATATGGAATCTATCTAATTAATTTTGTCTCAATAGATGCTTTTACAATATAATTTTTTTAAATTTAAACCAAAAAATAATTAAAGATATTAATGATCTGAAATGCTAAATGACAAGTGTTAAAACTATTACATTGTAATTCTAAAAATGAAAGAAGTATTATACTATAAAGAATTACTACGTACTATAGTTTATAATTTGCTGCGAAATAGTATATTAGAAGAGATTCTTATATACACATAGGCATCTGGGTATAAATAATCTTCGGTTGGTGAGATTGTATGGTCGAGGAGTGCTAAGATGAACTCGGTCTTATTGAATATAATAATGATTGATTAATGATTAGATTAGAATTAATTTTAGGTGGATACTACTACTAGTACAAGGTTATACAAATAAATGGACAAAATTGCTTACGCATTTCTCCAATGCCGTAATAGCTTACTACTGTAGTATAATAATCAATAATGCCACTTATAATAATTTATTTAACATACGAAGTATATCTTGAACACTTAAAATTGCTTTTGGAATATTCTTTTTTTTATTATTATTATTTGAAATCCGCTTTTGGAATATTCTTAAGCAATGTTACTATGCTAATCATTACATTTACTCCCTTTGTTTTTAAATAATTGCTCCATTTTTAACTTTAAAACTCATTATCGAAGAAAATACATAGTAACCTAATTGGGTAATAGGACGACCATTTCAATATTACATTTCCATGCGATCGATAAAATCTTTAATTAACTAAAAATGACGGAAAACCCGGTCTGTTATTTTGGAACAAAATATTAATAGTAGGAAAAAAATGTGGATGTTTGAAACTTGATTATTAAAATTTTTTTGACAAAAAATAAAGTTGATTGATTTGATATATGAAAAAAAAAATTAAAAAAAAAAATTGACAAAGGTACTTAAGATTTGAGATCAAATCCATCAACCTTTTTATATGAAAGATAAAATTGAAAAGGGTACTTTAATTTATTGTTTAATCGCAATCTCTTTTAAGATATTCTAATATCATCAAAAAAAATAAAAAAAATAAAAAAAAATAAAAAATAACAAGATGAATCTTAATAATCTACTTATTATAACTTCTAAAATTTATCATCAACATTGTGTCGAGATTTGAGAATCATAATTGTTGCACATTAAGAAGTAAGACAAAATTTAAGAAGTAATTAACTTGTAAAATGATCTAGATTAGATAGGCCTATATTATATAAACCTCTTACTTTTCATGAATTTTTTTTCTAGGTGATTAAGATCCATTTCATTTTTTCTATTGCTAATATGCTTTAAAAAGAAAAATGTACATAATAATTCTCTACTTTTTCCTGTTATATACGATGAGAGATATAAAAAGATCAACCAACAAGCAATATAAGGTAATGTTGCAATTGCAATAATAATTTTGAAACAGTCTTAAAAAATGTTGCGATAGTTATAGAATGGATGAATTATTACCCTTTCCATTGTCATTGGCCCGTAACACGATGAAGACATACTTGATAACGGGGAGTAAAGTAATTGTGTAGTATATGAGAGAAAGAACTCCCAAAATATCATCTCTATGCTTAATTCCGCTAGTGAAGGTGCTTGCATAAACATAAAGAGGCGAAGTACCAATATCTCCATATATAACACCGAGACTTTGAAAGGCCAAAGTTAGCACCACTGCCCAACTTGCATTCTGTTCAACCCAAAATCACAAAAAAAAAAAAAAAAAAGAAAAAAAAAATTATTAGATCAATATTAAACTATTAAAAAAATTAAGAGAATTAACTACGTATGAGAACTTTAAATCCCCCTTTTGTTTTGCAATAGCGTAAATTGGGAGATTTAAGATTTGTTTATGATAAACTTTTTTTTTTTGTGTCTATATTCAATGATTAAATATGATATTTTTACTCAAGATTCATTACAAGCTAAGTTTACTACATATTTCAAATGCATTGAATCTTGATTTGCCGTGAGTATCATATGGTTAACAGTTTGTTAATCCAATACAGTATTACAATATGATAAACCCTACTTTATAAATTTTCTAAAATGATACGGAGGGAGTATAAATTAATACGCTTTGTCTACCAATCAGCCATGGGCACATGCATGCTACATTACAAAAATAAATACTAGCTTAGTTGATTACAAAAATAAAACTGGGATCATATCCCTTCTACATCACTACTCTTGCGCCTCTCTTTGCAACAAAAAAAATCAAAAATACATATATCCTTTAATCAAGCTAATTTTTTTTTTTTTTTAATTCTTTAATTTAATCATGGAAAGAATCTCATATTCGTTAGAATTAGATAAGGAATATTTATGTCTTATGGGTAGGGGTGGCAATTCGGGTCAGCAGGTCGGGTTCAGGTCAAATTTCGGGTTATGCTTAGAAACTATAAAAATAGTGTAAAACTTAATATAATTACGAAATATGAAACTTGGGTCAAATCGGGTCGAATTCGAGTTGTTCGGGTTCGGTTCAGGTCAGGTCAGGTTCAGATTTCTCTTAGTAACTTCGGGTCGTGTTATCGGGCCGGGTCAGGGATTGCCAGCCGTACTTATGGGTAGTTAATATAACATCTAATTTGCTTTTTTTTTTTTTTTTAAAAAAAAAATAATAATAATAATAATAATAATTTTTCATTTGGGACATTTAAACAAGCCAAAATTTATTCTTCAAAAAATCATACTTCGTATTTTAATGATTTGTGAATAACTTTGCTCAATTTGGAAGACAAAACACTGGTAAATGTAGTGTACGGTATATTATTATGAACTTATAGTTAACTTGTAAATTTTCTTAAAAAAAAAAACAATAACTTGTAAATAGGTGATATTTATATGATTATTTTGGATGATTAAACTCTATATATTTAACACTTTTGCTTACACATACATGATAATTTAGTAATACAATTATTGGTTTATCTATAAATCCAATTTTAAGTTAGTAAATGCTACATCTTATAATTTAATTATTGAATTAAAATTTAAATAGAGTTTTATTATTAAATTTTATACGGGGTATTTATTTTTTTTTATTTTTATTATTTGGCAATTTCATTCTAATTACTTCACATTTAAAAAACAGAAACTCAGTTTTATCAAAAAAAATAAAAATAAAAATAAAAGACACAGATACTCAGAAATAACAAATATTAAATTTTTTTAGATGCATGCATCATGAAGCTAGCTTCTCCAATAGTTCAATTTATAATTGTTACATTATTTGTAGGCACCAACTCACCTATTCCTAGTTTTCAAAAAAAAAAAAAAAAAAAAAAAAAAAAAACTCACCTATTCCTAGGTTTCATATTCTTAATTTCCTCGAACAGAATAATACCGAATCTTTATTATTCAATATTAATCTACTTGTAAAGATTAGTTAAGGTACTAATTAAATATATTAGTCCCTACGTTCGAAATTAGATCTTCTCCCTAAACTTTCTTCGATATTCTATTACAACCCTTGACTTTTACAATAGCTCACCTTATTTTTCAGCCAACAAAATAGCTCAATGGTAAACATTAAATCATAATGAACATTTTGATTTACGACCTTTACAACTATAACACTACAAGTTTAGTACGTGCTCATAGAAACCCTATAAATTAAACTAGTCCAATGATACAGTACAAGTTAAGGCGACATAACAACTAATTTTGAAAGAATCCTATAGAGATGTAATGATGCATACCGTTGTGGAATGCCCTCCTGCATGGTGGCCTTTGACATTAGAGGATTCAAGATCAAGGGAATCATGACGACGCAATCTTGTCGTCTTCCCTTGACCCTCATCAGAATCAGGATTGCTGCTTATGTTACTCTTTGGCATTTACAATAATTTTTAGTTTGTATTTTTTTTTTTCAGGGTTTCGGTGTTAAACACTAAAACATGGGAAGCTACTTAGTACTTACAAACTAGGAAGAAGTAAAGGAAGAAGGGTGATGAAGGGGTTTATAAAGAAAAGAAATGTGGGGCCTAAACGTAATTAATTATAAATGCTTAATGATTCCACTAGATGCGGAGTTTTCTTGGCCTTTTGGCAGATTTCACGAGCCGTAGTAATTTTTAAGGTTGTTTTAATACAATTATTGAGCATTTTTAAAGTAAACTTAACTGCCTTTTTTAGATTACTACGATATGAAATAAATTATGCATATCAGTTTGTCTTCTATGTTCTCTATTGAATGTTACATTTTCATTTTCACATTTATAAATGAATAATTTGACAATTAAAATTTTGAACTACTACGTAAAAAAAATAAACTAATTTTTTCCGATTAACTCAAAATAAGTTAAATATTTGTTAAGCTAAGAATGTTTGATAAATGATATACAATCGCCCTAAAAAAAATCATTGATAAATTGTGTTATGATAATATCATCGAACTTTCTTCCTCCATTTTCCTAAATTCTACCAACTTTCAGTTTTTATCCATTTTTATAAATTCTACATACTTTTACGGAGTAGTTCATTCCTTTTATGTCAACCTTTAATTTTTGTTCATGTGTTATCATCATCCATTTCACTTTTTTTAGTTCAATTATCTAATACTTCTCTTATTCTTTATCTCTCTTCCTAAAAGCAAAAATACTTCCATGAGTGATCCACTTTTGTTGAGTTCTTCTCATTTTTATTTTTATTTTGCTACAGTAGAGTGTCTGAGTAGAACTTAGAAAAGGGAGGTAGCAATTATTAGGGCGGTTATTCGGTCCAAGAAACCGAAGACTGGACCGATTAAGCTGGGACTGCATTTGGACCGGACCAAAAGAAACGGTCCAAACTCCGGACCGGACCGCTTTGGACCGATTTAAGAATATTTTTAAAAAAAATCTAAATTTTTAATAATTTTATGAAAAAGTCAAAAAAAGTAAAGGAAAAACTATATTTTAACGTCTTTTTTATATGTTTAGTACAAAAAATCTCATAAAATTAAAGTTTTCTAAGCTTATTAAGGATAATCTTAACCATTATTTAAGGTTTCATGCATAATTTTAAGCAAAAAAATCGGTTCGGTCCAAGACCAGTTTTTATAGAACCGAACCGGACCAAAATAATAAATTTCTAGACCCGAAGACCGGACCAATTAATTTGGTCTGGTCCGGTCTGGTCTAGTCCATTTTTTAGGTCCAAACCAATTTATGAATACCCCTAGCATATTATGATCTTTTTGCGGACTGAAATGACACACTTTAAGGTCTTTAACTAAAATGTTGCAACTAATAATGGACCGAGTGCAATTAAAAATGGACTCAGTTAGTATTTTATATGTTGCCTAAAAACAAAGTTGTACACCTTGATAAAATAGATGATTCTAATGTAGTATTATGACTTTTGACTACCACAATTTTTTAAAATGGATGGCTGAGATTATTTGTTTTTGATTTATTTTTAATTAGTAATTTTAATGAAAAATAATTTTTTAACTATTTTAAATATATTTTTATCTTCCATAAATTAACTTCTAATATTTTTTGAAATTTTGGAAATAAATATATATATATATATATAAAATAATTAAAACAAAATTTTTAATTAAAATTATTAATTAAAAATAAATCAAAAAACAAATAATCTCAGCCGTCCATTTTAAAAAAAATTGTGGTAGTCAAAAGTCATAGGAATACATTAAAATTTTCATGATAAAACTGTCCAAAACTCTAATATATAAAGGAAAATGCTATTATAGCCCTAAGGACTATGTATAAGAAATTAAAAGTGAAAAGTATTAATGAAATATATATTAATTAATTACACTGATTTACGCGTAATTTTATCATGTATTCCTAAACTAATACCAAACAAAGAAAGATATTTAATACTTATTATTTATAGCCCTAAATGCTACATAATACATATAACATTACCCATATATTAATACGGAGTAATACTTGATTACTTGCTACAAAAATTCCCTTACAATGGACCACATTCTCCTAAGAGGTCGATAACACCAGACACCTAAGGGATTATACAATATGCCTCTTGTAAAGAAAAACAAATTGTTTTTTTTTTTTTTTTTTTTTTTTTCCAAAAAAACTTTCTTGTCACTTTTGATGTACGAAGGATTGACTTAATCGTACAAATTTCATTAATAATCGTACAAATTTCATGAGCGAAACTAAGTCCGACAGTAAATGGTATGTATACACATTACTTGTACAAAACTATAGGTCATATAGAGTCAAAGAATCGTTTATAGGTTGGCAAATTTATTTATGAAATCGTAATTAAGATTATTATAGTACAAAAAAACCAGTTGAGCATTTCAAATCTAAAATCATGTCAACATACATAGCTTAGGAAACAATAATACAAATGTATACAAGTGTATACATTTATTTAAATTATCTTAAAACTAAGGTATAATAGAACTTCTTCAAAAAAAAAAAAAAAAAAAAAAAAAAAAAAAGCCTAAATCACAATATCACATAAAACAAACTTCCACCGCTATTTATTTATTTATTTTTCCCATGAGCTACAACTTTACAAGTCTACATTTCGTAAAAAAAAAAAAAAAAAAAAAAAAAAAAAAAAAACTTTACAAGTCTATAGGAGCATTAATTACAATCTCTATAATAAAAGTCAAGGTGAAAGGAGGGGAGAGATCGTTGTATACACGGTGCATCTAATTAAGGATATATATTGTTTGCTTATTTTGATGATTATTGTTCATTTAATCATTAACTAGTTATTGGGGTGGGCGATGCCCCGGATCATTATAAATTTATTACTTTAATCGAATTATATATATTTTGGCTTGTTTGTCCCTGAGAGCTTAAGTGGTATTTTTTTTTTTTTTTTAAGATGATAGCTTAAGTAGTTTATTGTTTGTATGAGCTAGTTTGACTATAAAAATAGTTATTTTGCATTAAAATCAACTCGTTAAAAAAAAAAATGATAAATCAAATATTTGTAAATTTGATGCCAAAATATATATACTCCATAATGCACAAAAATCTTTTACTCTATAATTACAATAATTTTATGAATTAATGCACAAAATAAAAATGGAGTAATGTTTAATTTCTTACATACTTTATTATTGTATAATTATTAAGGAGTTACATTCCAATTGAAATTGTTATGCATATGAAGAATTTATCAATTAAACTAAACATTAATACATGGAGGTTAATTAATGCATGGAGTTTTTTAATTATTAATGGTATGGTATGATTTGGCGACACATCATATGCCAAATGGAAAAATTGGTGACACATGGCAAAATAGCATGTCTTGCCATGAGTTTTAATAATATAATATTGATGAATAAAAAATAATCTTTGGTGCAACATGCACCCGGATGTATATAATTATTTTCAAAAGGGAGGACATATAGTGAAAAGTTAGTGCCAAACTTTTAAACTAGCCAAATTACCCCTAAGAGCCTGCCAAAAAAAAAAAAAAAAAAAACAATATTCTACATAATAACATTAGTTTCCAAAATTTTGCTTTAATTTAGAATCTTCCAAAAACATAACATGCTTTAAAGGAAAAAAAAAAACAAAAAAACCCTCAAAAATTTTAAATTAAAATATAATAAACATTAGCCACTTACATTAGGAATTTCCCTCGTCAGTAGGACTTCATAATGATTATTTTTCTTACCTTATAAAAAATAATAATATAAACATTTTAGTCACCATATTTACATTATTCCAAGAATAAAATCAACAAAATTCCATAGTAGAATAATATCAAATTTACTCCGGTAACAGTCAAGCATTTTCATATGCATCATACAAGACCTCAAAAAATAATACATATATAGTACAAGTACTAGTATAGTACCCGTGTAATTACACGGTTTAAATAGTTCAATTTAAATATAAACTCTCACACATTTTAAATTATTACTTATTATACTGAAAGCTTTTAGTGTATAATAATTTATGTCACAATAACGTGTACCCATGTAATCATCTATCGCGGTCCTCCATATCATATTTTCAATTCGATGTTGAATAAAATGGTTTAGAAACAGCTATATGATAGAGGTTTACAACCTTTACAAATATCTTGGTCATGTTTTACCTATTTAAATCAAGTCATGCACATTCACATATCTCATATAATACCCTTCATGTGCACTTTTGTTTTAATTAATATAATAAAACATACTCTATCATCCCCTAATATAGTCACAGACTTTTTAAAAATAAAAAATTAGGTTTACAACATTTATATTGGTTGAAAATTCGCCCTACAATGATGTATCAAAATTTATGCAAAATAAATCAGAGTCATTCTGACATATATAAAAGTTATATATGCTTTAGTGATAAAGATACAATATTTAAATTATTAAAACCAAAATATGAGTTAGTAAAAGTAACTACATTACCCTTAAAAAAACTTATTATCCCATTGTCTATCTACTTCAAAATCAAATCAGGTTAAACATTACCCAAAATAACTTAAAAGTACATTATCCTATCATTGTTTTTTTTAGTTTTTCGAGAGCCATATTCGATGTACACTACTATTATTGTAAATCAGATGTACACAAAAGTGTTTATAATATAGTTGACGTTGACTTATTTATTGATAAATTTTATCAAGTCTAAGAAAGTATACAATAAAGTACTTTTAAATAACGAATACATCTATAAAGTAGACCTGGCAATCCTGACCCGGACCCAATGACTCGACCCGAATGACCTGACCCGTGACCCAAAATCGACCCAAAAACATCGATCTGAAACCCAAACTTGACCCGACCTGAAAATGGAGTTGACCCGACACCGAACTGACCCGACCCAATTATACTAGACCCGAAGTTGACCTGATATCCGAAATGACCCGACCTGAAATTGACCCGACCTAAAGTTGACTCGGAGTGTTTTACCCGAACAAACCCGATACCCGAAATGTCCTCAACTAAAGTTACCTTATAATAACTGAACTAAAAATGTCTAGTGCCAAAAATGACTCAAATTGGTCATCTCCAACCGTAGCCAAGCTCATAAACTGAATTGATAGTTCTTATTATAATAATAACAAAATATAAAATTAAAGATTTGAGCTTGATCCACAAATGGAACAATCCGAACATGACCCGACCCAATTCTGACCTGACCCGAACATATTCGGCCTGAAAATGGTATGACCCGAACAAGCCCGACCCAAAATTGACCAGACCCAAACTCGTCCTGATACCTAACCAGAGTCATACCCGAAATCCGAATTGACCAGACTCGACCCGTACCCGACCCGAATATTAGCTGACCCGAAAGTGACCCGACCTAGACCCGACCCGAATGACCCATTTTCCAGGTCATAAACCTATACTAAAAGTGAAACACATGTCATTCCCTTGTCGCCAAATTC